GGTCTTTATAGTGTTCTGGTGGACCGACAACACCATACATAAACTGACCTGAAGACGAAAGGCAGAATACTTTCGAAACATCGTCCTCTACATTTGTGTTTCTACAACAGGCAGTTGTTGTTCATTCAACTATGTTTCATCAGGAATATTCTGCATGAACAATCTATCAAATAATTGTCATGAATTTGTTAACTACAGGATCCCCAATAACATATGAGTACTCATACAAAACATTTAAACAAAAATAGCCTCAGTATCGCATTTAAACTCAGTAATTACTGTTAAGGTTTCCTGTTTATTTTACATAGAAAAGTAGTGGTTTCAACCATTTGTTTTTGTGAGTTCTATAGTGACAAGAAACAACATAAAATTAGTTAGTGTACTGCAGTATGTGAATCCCACCGATAGTGAACAGCATGCAATCATGTCTGTAATTTGAAGTTTAATATAACTAAAGTTTAAAATATTAAAATCCACAAACGAACACAATTAAAATATTTATTTAAACCGGTCAACGGTTGTAAAAGTCACTCTACATGTTTCAACGTGGTTTCACGTCATCTTTAGGAGTGTGAAAAATAATTAGTGTGTGCTGTATAAGTACAAAAGCCATCGTCATGTGACTACTAGTTTACTATTCAAAAAAGGATATCACGCCATCTACATACTTTCTGATTTTCTAATCCTTCATCCTTATTTAAGATCAAGTTGTGAAACAAGAAGAGTGACTTTTACAACCGTTGATCGGTTTAACTAAATATTTTAACTGTGTATTATAAAACGTTGTTCGTTTGTGTATTTTAATATTTGAAATATACACATAAGTTCCTCGAATTTTAACCTTTTAATATAACTAAAGTTGTGAGTCTACCAAAATGTCAGCACATGATGTACCATACACAAATAAATTATGCGAGGTTATAACTTACCTAAACATAAAAATTGAATAGACGTATAATAATTAGAAAATAAACATAAGAACCTGCTCTTCGTTTACTGTTACGACACGTAAGTCATAAACCACTGAGACATACGTCAAATAGACTCTCGCCATGAATAGGGTACGAGCACTGAGTTGCACTGACGATGTGAACGAGATTTTATAGCCACTATTTTGCTTATCTTTATACAAGCCACATTAACTATAGGCGGGAAGAGATGAGGACGTTAAGGAGATGCGCATATATAAATGAAAGAGTGAGTGATTTAGTAGCCATAACGCAGTAATGCTGACTGGCCCACCACGAGGGGCAAGCTCCCAACTAGTGGTATATTCACAGCGGGTTGAAAGATTGGCAGCGCCAGGACTTCACGGTTCTTTGACTTCCTGTAATGTTTCTGGATTTGACGGCTATGATCGTTCTACTTCTCCAATGGAGTCTAAATATGGTACAAATTCAAGAGGCAGAATGGAGGTTTAATACAGACTCTATGTTGAAGTTGAAACCTTGTTTTAGAAATCTACTTAAAGTAATGGTTATATAATGAAAGCGAAATAAATACAAATATCCCACTTTTTTCAACTTGAATGTACAAAAATAGATATGTGTTAGAGCTTGTTTTTAAAAACAGTTTTTTTAAGATAGTTATTCATATACATAAACAAAGTTAAAGTTATAGATATATTAAATGTTGTTGTTGTTTTATAATGTTGGTAGGAATATGTGATACTTGAACATCAAAGAAACAGAGAAAAAAATTTAAACTTTGAATGACCTTGTGTTTTGTTGATAATAAAATACCCATCAAAATGCCTTTCTGCCTTACAGAAAAGTAAACAATGGAGAGCCACAGATCATAATTTTCACATCTTATAATCTGAATTTCTCTTTTGTTGAATTTTGCAAATTTTGGGCAAAATCCCTGATGAAGAAAGGCCCATCTTTCGGAAGTGCTCGGGTTATAATAGAGTTATGAATTTTTGCGCTAGCTACCCCTAATCTTGAGCCCCCCCCCCAGTAGCACAGCGGAATGTCTGCGGACTTACAACGCTAGAAACCGGGTTTCGATACCAGTGGTGGGCAGAATACAGATAGCCCAATGTGTAGCTTTGTACTTAACTTCAAAACAAACCTAGTTTTAAAGTGATAAGCTAGAGGGTTGACAACTAGTCAATACCAACCATCGCGTACTCTTGGGCTACTCTTTACCAACGAATAGTGGGATTGATTGTTACATTATACGCATTCACGACTGAAAGGGCGAGCATGTTCGGTGGTGAGATTCGAGCCCGTGACCTGCAAATTGCGATTCTAGCACACCTAACCAACAGGCCATAACAAACTTGCATTTCTCTGTTTACCTTTTATGAGGATACGCGTGTCTTTAATTACAAATCTATTTCATGGATGAAAATAAACACTTTCATTATATATATATATATATATATTTGTAATTGGTCGTGTTTTGAAATATAAAGTAAATTATGTATTGCATTCCAATTTATTAACACAACTCAAAAGCTTGGAGTTTGTTTGCGTACGGTCAAAGGTAATAAAAATAAAAGGAACATTTTAATTACTGTTTACAAACTACCCAAAAGATGGCAGCACTTATTTTCAACAATTTCTTCTTTTTTCACTTTGAGACCGGAAGTTCCAAGAAGACGTTTTAATCACAAATAATCCATGATAAATTTCATTTTTAATTGATCTCTTTCCGTTATTTTTAAGTTTATTACCCATTACAGTCAAATATTTAAGAGAAAATCTACAAATGAATTATATAAGTCAATACTAGCAGTTTTGTGTAATCTCTTATAACCCATCTGTCATAGTGCTGATATTTCTAAAAAATTTAAAAATGTTATTTTAAATATTGCTGTTTTTAATGTGTCGCTTTGATTACACTGAGCAACGTAATGCAAAGATATCTCAAAATAGAGAAAGAGATGAATAAGTAGCGGGAATACGACTGTAGCAAGAGCTTATGTATGAATGAAGAGGAGCTGCAAGATGCGTTCCACTATATTATTCTCTGTTGTTGTAGAATACGCTTTTAGTTACTCTCACTTATGGACCAGTTTTCATTAATAATTTGCCAAACTCATGCCCCACCTTTGGGGTTGAGATCCTCACGAGACAACTAGAAAGAGGGTGAAAGAAGATATTCTATTAGTGGAACTTACTAGCACCAAGGGTCCTATCACATCTCATCGAAACAAGAGCGGACGATGTCTCCCAAAGGAAAAGTCTCGGAGAATCTATCGTGTTGCTGCATAGCAGTTTGTAATCGCTGAAAGCTTAAGTCAATTACAGGCGATTAGGCCTAACATCTAAGTTTGTGGTAGCCAGCTAGTGTTTGTTATTCACAGTTTCGATATGTATGCAGACAGTGTTTGGAATACGGAGGAGAGAGGGGATAACGCAGCCATATACAAAGGCGGGGAATGTCAATGATGCTGTGAAGTGTTCTTCAGTTTCTGAGCTTTGGGAGTATAGTGTGTTGGAGATTACACTCCACTGTATTATGTCAATAATAGGCTTCCGCTGAGTAGTCCATGCAGCAGACCTTTCAACCACTAAAGTAGGCTTATTTCTTACCAGGGTGGTCTGTGACGATAATAGCCTCGAAACATGCCAAGTTACAAACTAGCATTTGGCCCCGGCGACCAATCTACAATCCGCGTAGATGTTCTGTGACAGTGTTATCACACTCGTGTATAAAATGAGAAGTGACTGTTTTATACATGCGTATTTCTAGTAGTTCTCACTGAATGTCCATAAAAATTGCGACCTTTTTGAAAGGAGTTTAGCTACTACTGTATTTTTTTTCTAAGCATTTTAGAACTACTGTAATCTTACATTCATAATGACTATAGTAATAA